CCGAAACTGTTTGATAGGTATAGAACATGATACATGAAATAGGTCCAGAATTTAACCTAGAATTTGAAAATGAAATAAAAAATTGGTGTTTTCATTTAAAAAAATTAAGTTAGCTGTTATAACTTGTTTTTGAATCACCCTGTATGCATAGTATTATCATCAAAAAAACGTCCACTAAAATCAAAAATTGACGTGTCCGAGGTTTTTTGAAAAATATCCACCCTGTTTATAGATTTTATTCCAACCTTTACGTGCTCACTGTATAGTAGACAGTAATGAAGCGAATCAATTGCTCTAGGCCTAGAATCTGGGTTCAGTCATGTTTCCCGTAGGTACTTTTTCTAATAGAACTGAATCTTCTTGAAGCTGCAACCCCAACAAATGGGTACTCCCTATATTGTCGCGAAAATCTGGCGGAAGCGCTAGGGTATACAGAATTGGACTTGGGCAGCTGATTCTAGCTTTTTGCGGTGCTTTTCGGGAAGGAGAGTTATCGCGTTTATTCTTGATTCTACACGAATAGATTGCGGATATATAAAGGCCGGTATTAGTTAGTAGTTTTTAAGTTTAAGATTGGCTGTGATATGATTTAGATAGTGATTATTGTTGAGAGTTGTAAAGAGTTAAGTTGTTCTGTCATGCACTCCAGAGTCCTGACAATATTAACGATCTTAAGATAGGTAACTAGTGATCCATATCAGTTGGATCCTGATAATGCTAAGTTGGAGAGTTTGTTTGAAAGAAGTCCGTGACAAACACTATCAAATGTTTTTAATAATTCGCGTTATAGGCCAGCGACCAGCATCTATCTTTGACTTGCAGTATAACATACCCGGATTCGTTCAGCAAGATTGAACGGTTTTTTTTTTTTCATTATCTCTCTTTTAACAAATCTTCTGAAAAACGAAAATGAAAAACAAAAACCTACGTTGTCGAATCTTACTCAATTTTACTTAATTGAAATGCGCCCGACAATAGCAAAATTAGGCTAATTTGAGGGAAGTTGTTCATTTAAAATAAATGAAAAATATGTGAACCATCTAATTTATTATTGAAGAAAATCGTACTTCTCAACCTAAAACTCACGAGGGGAAAGAGCACGGCAGAGATATCCTCGATCTCAATTCCTCAGAAATCAAAACAAACTGTGGCATTTTAAGAATATGTACTTAATTGTAATTCAATAACAGTTTAAATTACTGTCCTTGTGCTAAAATTTCAATTCAACATACTACATTCAATAGTCAACACTGAAGAGTTATTGGTTAGCTAGCCAGTCTCACCAGCAGGTAATGAGGTCCCGTTCGGGAGGCTACTCAGCTATATTTGTTATTTTTGAGCCAATATCTCTAGACTGATCATTTGATTTGTTTGCTAGGATATTCGCTCAGTCAGGGTAGAAAAATGTTAGTAGATTCAACAAGGCCCTAATGCACGCTCCGAATACCAAAAATAAAAACCCCAGCACAAAAGACATCATATAATTTCTTAGGTTTTAATCTATACTTTTTATCTGCGTTGTTCACAGCATGAAACGATTTCTGTTAAATACGTGAACAATGCACATGTTATAAAATATATCTAGTATAAACAAAAAAAATATATAAAAATGAAAAAAATAATATGTGTATAAATTGAACTGACAAAAAAAACACATTTATTCAACTGACCTGTGAATGCTCTTTATGAAACAAACTAATCACAAGACACAAATCGGATTGAACAATCAAGTTTAATACAAAATAAAAAAAAATTGAATAATCAACAATGGCGGACAATCTTCTTCCCTGGTCTCATTTTTCTGTCTACCTTTCGGTACGCTTTTTGTGGCGCGTCCTCGTTCATCCCTACTTGACAGCACATACCTACATGATGCAAAACTCACCATTTTTGCTTTTCTATAGTAAACGTTTTAAAAATTTAAAATTTGGAGAAATAATATTCCAAACAGGTGGTTTTCCTCAGACGTATGAGCCATCCTCAGGATGTGAAACCCGATAATTCAGATGTGATATGCCTATACCTACCCTAACCTAGCACCTACTAAATTTGTAGTTTCTAGTCTGTGATCAAAACTACTGACAGTGAGTCATTTCTCTCCATTATAGAGCAGCGCGGGATGTGCGACGTTAGGGGAAATTATTCCCGTATTCGGTAATGGAACAAGTCAGGACGACCTGAGGGATATCCCAGGAAGATTCTAGGAGTAGGTACCTACCCACTGATATATAATGCTGTAGGGTGACAAAAAAATTAGAAGCTAAAAAAGTGATTTGTGCCAATTTTTGATTGTAATCAGGTTTATGGCTGTTGGTGCCACTTTGAAAGTAGATAAAGGTTAGCTACTACTACTAGTCATCAATTAAAATCAATGTTGTGTAATTCCTCTTCGTCTATGTCTCAATAAAATTAAAAAGTCTAAAAAAGTCGTGATTTTTGCCAATTTTTGATTGTAGTCTCTTCACGGACACGGCTCTTTGTGCCACTTTGGAAATGCATAGCTATCAATCAAAAATAGGCAAAATTCACGACTATATTTTAGAATCACATGCTATGCCAGAGAATCGCAGCAACCTTGTTAAGAATTAGCTTTTGATGACCAAGTAATAATGCAAAATCGCGATCTACCATATTGAATATGGTTAATGTTCGTCCAACTTATTAATCAGATCAGAGGCAAGTCTCGTTCTGTTGAACTTGACTCAAATTGATTAACAAATCCAGAGCAAACTAGAAAATACCCACTTGAACAAAGAAGGAAATCATCAAAATGTAGCCAGAAGCTTGGAGAAGAACCCAATCTATAAGAAAAACTACAATCAATATCCAGAGACAGGTCTGCATTACGTCTGAATGTCTGAAGAAAAAAAAAAAAAACATTAAAGATTTCTTTAGGACACCTCGTTGAAGACGTCTTTAAAATGTCTCAATCCTGGAGACGACTTCAGTCAGACGTCTGAAAGACTTCAAGACTTTAAGACACCTTAAAGACGTAAGCAAGACGTCTTGAATGTCATTTGTTTTCATCTTTGGAATGCCTTTAGATTTCTACAAAATTTCCTCACAAAACTTATTTCTCATTCAATTTATAAGTTACTGAAATTTAGCTGGCCCCCCTCTGAAAACTTGCCCTCATGTCGACAACAATGCAATGCAACATGCGTAACCTCTGCTCTCTGGTTAATTTGATATTTGGTGGGCGCCAGGCAACCACGACTATGCTTTCGCTTTCCTGGGATTCCCCCAAACATATTTGGGTCGACAGGTACAGGGTTTTCCTGTGTATTTTTGGCACCTCACCTGAAAGGCCGGTTTCTCAATAGCAAGCAAGTCACCCCCAGGTCAGAGCAGTTAACCATAACTGCAGGGTAAACATTGCAATTGGACACGTTTACCCTGGACTAGCTATCGAGAAACCGACCCTGAAAGGTTAATTGAATAGGTATCAAGAAGATTTATTTATACAGGGTGTCCGTTTTTCGAGAGCAATCATTGGAATATAGAAAACGGTAAGAGAAACAGGTTCGGTGAAATTGGGACAAAGTTGCGCAATTTCTTGCTTAACAAAACGCTACTTCGAAATTTGGAAAATTCCGAATACTTCCGGAGATACATGGGAATCAAAATTTTGTAAAATCCATTTCTATATTTTCCTGGACTCATTTGTAAAGGTATTTCAAATAAACTTCACTTTATTGGGGCAACTTTCTCCCCTCTACATTATGGTGTAACCAAATTTGAAATCCGACGTTTCGTCTTTTGCCGATCATCATCAACTTTATTTTCTCAAATAGAGGTTTGCATTTTTATAAATTTTATTTGGAGTTTCTTGATCTCCCAAAAGCAGTAACACATTTGGCCATTGATTCCGATTTTGTATCTCTTACCGTTTCCTATATTCCAATGGTTGTCCTCGAAAAACGGACACCCTGTATACAAAATCCAAATAAAAACCTTTTTGATACATTCAATTAAGCAGTTCAAGTGGAGTGCAAAAATATACGGATAAACTTTGCAATTCCCATTTTTTATTTCAAAGAAGAAAAGCAATAAAGTAAGAAGAAGTGCCCCCCCTAATTTTTTCTGGCCCAGCCTGGCCCCCCCTAACGTAAAACCCTGGCGTCGCCACTGATGCTAGAACACTTTAGAAGTTCAATAAGGCTTTTGGAAAGTTCAAAACATTCAAAACTCAATTCAGAATTTTAAAAGCATTCTGTAGCGTTTCAGAAAATTTTGGAAATTTCAGGACCATTTTAGAATGCCCTAAAGCATTCAAAACCCGACGCTTGAAAACACTCAAACACTCTACAATCAGAAACATTTTGAAAAGCGCCAGAATCTTAGGATTCAGGTTAAAAGTTACAAAACGCCTTTCAGAAGGCTTTTAAGACGGAATTTAGATTGCTGCAGAACTTTGGAGCTTTTAGTAAGCAACCAAAACACTTGAAATCCAAATCAGAATTTTCAGGAGCATTTTGGAACAATGTAAAAACTTCAGAGCTATTCCAGAACAATTATTAGGATTCAATTCAAGAACTGGAAAAGTTTTAGAACTCTTTTGAACTAATTAAGAACACTTTGGAGCTTCAATGCTCCAAAATACTTAAAAAACTGTCAGAACAATTTATAAAATACTGGAAAACTTCTAAAATGCTCCAGAACTCTTCAACGTTATGAATTAAGTAATAATAATGTAATATTAGTCCTCTGAAGACGTCTGAAAGACATTCGGTTTGTTACATTTGACGTCTTTGAGATGTCTTTAAGAAGACGCGCGTTGAAGACGCAAGCAGACGTCTAAAAGACGTCTCGAATGAAAGTCGTTTGTGGGCGTCTTCAAGATGCTTCTGTGCTGTCTGGGTACTAGGAAGCTTCAGGAAAAAGGCCACTAAAGTACCTGTAGGACATACGCCCATTTGCTATAAGTACATATGAAATCAAAGGAGTTCCAAGAACCATTCTCAAAAGTTTCAAAAGAAGCAAATTTGAGAAGAAACCTCCAAATATCAATTTTGGAAATAACAAATAACTATAGGTAGCCATATTCTACCACAATGAAATCAATTGAAAACAAAGTATAAGGAAACTATTATCAGGATACGAGCTTCAGGAGAAACTCTCGAATCTATTTAGTTACCTACCACTACCAATAATTCGTCTATAGAGTCGATGGTAAATTTCTATGGTATTAAAATTGCTAATAAAAGGGGCCCCTGTTGGCATAACGACTAAAAGAACAATACAAACAAGCCGCAAAGCAGCTGACAAAAACTAGAAGCATCAGTTTTAAATTGTATATTTTCAAATAGAAATGACATGGAAAGAAACTGTTTGTGCATTTTCAAAAAATGTTTTCCCTGGAATCAAGTTTAGCAGCAGTGGTAAAGAAATCCGCGGTAAGCAATTTTTAGGAAAACGTACTTATAACAAAAATACAGAAGGCAACTTATTGCGTTTTATCAATAGGTACCTATTTCTCCAGCAACCAAAAAAATAGCATACCTATTTTAAATACCTAGTTGGGGTTGTTTCCTACCTTTGGCGTGGAGTTTGCTTTTCTATTGAACTTTGTTAACTGAAACATTTCTATTGCTAAAACCAAACCTTATAGTTGTTCATCATAACGTTTGATTTAATTTTTAGAGAATGAAGTAAAATCAAATTTACCACTGCAAATGTCTGCCTATTTCAATGTCGTATTTATTCCGATATGGGTTTTGGTATTATTCATCTTTCTACTGGACAATGTAAGTACCAATATAAGTATATATCCTAATACTCAGACTTTAGATACCCTTTCCCTTTATTACCCAACACTCACCTAAACACTGATAAGGCAGGGAATGCCATTTAAAACGAAACAGGCTAAATATCTGCTGTCACTTTTATTTCTTTTTTTAAAAATCGCTCGGACACGTACCTAATTTGATTGTGTGTGTTTGAAACATTTTCAGCAATAACTTAACCCTCTAGGGGGTGTGAGACCAACCCTTACCCTTACAAATGGAACAAGGGGTCGAGTGATACCTGTTTCAAAAAAGCGTTCAATTTTCTTTCAAATGAACGCTGTTTTGAAAGAGGTCGACCCTTATTCCATTTGAAATAGTAAGGGTTGGTCCCACCCCGCCTAGATGGTTGAAAATGGTTGCAGAAAACTTCCCCCTTTCAAAATCAAATTACGTGTTCGAGTGATTTTTTTTAAAACCATACACCCTGTATATTGTTATATGTCATGTCTTGTATTTTTCACGAATTAGAAAAGAAGATGAAATAAACCAGAAATGAAAACTAGCATTAATACTGACCAAACATATAAAGTATATGAGTAGAGAGTACTATAGTATGTAGGTACTTCCACTAATTACTAATCCAATAAGTACCTAAGTATCTTTTACCTACCTATTTTTAAAAATTGTTTGGAACTTTTGCAGTACTCTGACTTCGGAAAGCTTACCAAAGTAATAATTGTAACTATTCTCAGTACCATTTTTACAGTGGAAATACTCCGACTATACATGGTTTATGAAGGAAATTTAAATGATAAGGTTTGTAACACATTATAATAAACTGATTTTCCTCTACATAATTCAATTTTAGATTCCCGAATTGGCAGGTTTCTGGATGTTATCAGTATTCCTTCAGCTACCGTTGCAAGGCCTTCTGCTATTCAACCCCTATTTCCAGCTACGCGTTTTAGAAGTGGTCTGTCAAAGTGTAATCTTTATGTTGTTAATTAGTCAAATTATTTTCGGGTATTTCGCTTTGAGATATACCGCATCGCAACAAGCTAAATATTATCAATTTAGAAATGAATTAAGAGCCAGTTTGAGAAGAGATAAGACAGAAAAATAAATCTTCCTCTGTTATGTATAAAGTTTGTTTTTATTTTGGAATTATTGTAAAGGTGCTTCTTGTGATTCTGCCTGAAGTAGTGTAAGTGTAGTGTTATGTTCAGTAACTTTCCGTTTTTATTGGCATATTGGCGAATGCGTAAAGAAAAAGTGAATCTATTGAATAGCAATGTATAATCAAGATAATTATATGGATCAACAGTTCTATGGGATAGTACAAGCACAAAGAGGCAACAGGCAACTATGAAGGATAAGTCACCTCTTTAAATCATTTCTTTGAGCTTCTGGCAAAAGTTTTCTTCTATTCACAAGGCTACTTTTCTAAAAATAATTTCAGTTTTAACTAATGGGCTGGTTGGCTTTTCCATCAAATAGAGGATGGAAAACTCACTAGACTTCCTGCAAGAAAATGGCACTATACTATAAATAGTTTATATTTATGTTCAAGCTTACAATTAATCAATGAAGGTGACTGTTTTGATACTTGATTTTAATATGTAAAAAGTACAAAAACATAATGTTTCCTTTATCTATTAAAAACAATTCTTTTTTGATTCTAAGCCCTGGCAAAATGTATAAATAACAATGTAATACCTTTTAGCTTTCCTACAGGGACATTAGTTTTGAAAAACGCACATAAGTGACAACTACACACCCTGATTATATAGCAATGTTTCCAGTTTGCAGGTGAATTACTTGACTACTTGAATCCCTGTATAAGAATTGAAACAAATACAATTTAAGAACAATCAACATTTATTAAACAAAAACTTCACAGCAAAATAATGACACTACAATAAATAAACAAAACATAATTTAATCACCAGTTCAGCCCAATGAACCACACAACTTGGATATAGCAGTGCAGTAATTATTTTTGTTGCACTATACAATATAAACTTTGTACTTAAAATTAAAATAACAAAAATATACATGTATTTAACAAAGTAAAAAAATAGTCATTAAAATTTGAAAAACCTACAACAGTTAACATTTCAATACACGATAGCCTTTATGTGTTCGTATGCGGCGTTCATAACACCCCAACTAACAAATGCCCTTGTGCAATTCATCTGAACACCGTGATAAATATTTCGAACTTTGCAGCCTCTTTCTTTGTACACCCTAACAAGTACTATCCAAGGATTATGAAAATCACCTCCTACTTTATTTTGCATGGCTATTTTGATCACATTTAAAGGATAAAAAAAAGTCGATAGAACTACACCAATTACCGCACCTCCAAAAAATTCTGCACTAGTTTTAAGAAGTTCAGGTTCTAAATGAGTAATGTGTTCTTGCAGTTCTTCACGTAACAAAAAAAAGCAAGCATTAGCAGGTCCATTGCGTAATAATACCGGTGTCAATCCTCTATAATATTCTGCAAAGCCATACTGTCTCAGTGCAACAAATGCATGAGCTGTATTTTTAAATTGTTTATGGTATTCGGCATTCGCTAGTAAGGTTTGGATTCTTTCAAATGGCATTAAGGTGGCTTCTGTGGTACCAGATACCAAACCGCCTATAACTTTGGCTAAGCTAGTATTTACATTATGTTGTACTAATGGCTTTCGTACTTCTTCGTACACTCCAAACATCAATGACAGGGATATTGATTTTTGACATAGAGGTGGCAAGATTCCTCTATATAGATAATACATTCCTTCTTTGTGTAACTGGGCGAAGGCGCTCTTGATATGGATTCCATGAAGAATCTGAAAATCAGCAACAAACTAATTATAATTAAATTTATTTTTTAATTTATCCTCTACAAGAGAGATATCTTAAGTTTCTTCAACAAAAAAACATATTTACCTGCCTAAAAATCAATTTGTTTATAGGATAAGTTACGGAAACGTTTATCACAGCTGCGCCCCATCCGCAGACAAATTCCTGCCAATTAATATTAGTTGCCGTCGTTGCCGAGAAGTATTTTGTGGCTGTAGAACTCATCTTCCAGGAAGCCCCTGGAGTTGAGGTTATGTAACTCGATAACCAATTTGAAACTAGAAATTCGCTAATTATTTTAAAAATAATGTCAGAGATCCACTTTCTAGTGAAAATTTGCAGGGTTCGAAATTGGAGATACTAATTAATTTCCAAAACATTTTTTTATTTTTAACTTTTTTCTTTGTAGTTGTCAATTTGTCAAATACAGCGGCCGAGCTGTCACTGCTGGTGGCTGTCAGCTGTCGGATTTTTTTAAAATTTTGACATTAGGCACTTTCCAGAATTCACCGGTTTCTGAACCAGTGATACCGGTTCTAGTTTACTCACGAAACCGTTCTAAAATGTACAGACTTAAACCTGATCGTCCAAAATTGACCGGAATGATCAGCTGTTTGAAACCCATCGTCAGGCACTAAGTTTGTCAGAGGTAGGTTGCCTGATAACTTTATGACTTCATCCGGGGTGCCTCAACGTAATGCAAATCTCTCTGAGCAAATCTCCATAAAGCACCTCAGCGCGTCATCAGAGGTGCTTTCCAGTGACCCAATTGTCGTGATCCTAGCCCAGGAGCATGATACTCTAACAATTTAGACACTGGAAAGCAGCTCAAGTTATCCATTACTAGACAACCTGCCTAGGAACCTTGGTCAGACACGAATCCACCGGGAATTTTTGTCGATTGGAAATTTTTTGACACTTTTGTTTTGATTTTGACGTATGTAGTGGTACAATAATTGCTTTCAATGGGAAATGGGCTCTATCGGCAGTCGTTCGTTAAATTTTTGATTGCAGATTACAGATTGAAAAAAATGTTTGTTTGTACGTGAACAATTCTATCTCATTCATTATGAGAACTCTACACTCATCTCAACTCCAAATTATCTGCAAAAATCGTACTGAAAACTACCGTTTGTTTACTGTTAAAAACAATAGTGGTTTGGCGTAAAGGTACAGTTTGTTAGGATAGTACGCGACGCACAACTGACAACGTAAACGTCGTCATTGGTTCAGGTATGACGTATACCTGTTTTCTAACGTCAGCGTCAGAGAATGGGTGTACGTCATACCTGAACCAATGACGACGTTTACGTTGTCAGTTGTGCGTCGCGTACAAACCGTACCTTAAGTGCACCAAACAACACAACCATAAGCTGGGTTCGGCTATTCGGCGGAGTTGGAGTAGTGTAAGAACAGAGCTAATGGAGTCACCTTTAATACGGTAAAAAGCAATACCCGAACGGATAGAGTGCGAATGGAGTCACTCGAAGTGCACGGAGTGAGCAAACCGAACCCACCTATACTATAGATGTATTTCTTTCACACCTAGGAGGGGCTCCGGAACAGCTCCGGGGCTTCACGCCCCTATTCCTTTCGAAAAGTGTTTGTTGCACCACGCATCTGTTCCCTGCAAATTGGGGGCTCCTGAACCCCGGAGCGAGTAGCTCGAGTGTTTCAAACTCTTGAAAGGAATACAACTTATACATCAAAGCGACCAAAACGTTCCAAAATGCATCAGAAAAATCTTGTAACCGGAATTTCACTGGAATTTTTTTTACAGCTACCGGTTTATTTATCAATTTTTCGGTGAAATTTGGAAAGTGCTCATACATCACTTGAGTTGACGTTGCAAGATAGCTTTGTTCGCGAAAGAAGTTTTGAAGCGATTGTAGTGATTCTTCCGAACCCGTGGAACTTATTCGAACGGAACTAAAAAAAAACTCGAGATTATGACCCGCGAACGACAATTTGAATTAATACGCATGCCGCATGTTTGCTCTGACCTCTGAATCGTCTCATAGCGCTTTTGACTTGACTTGACAAAGCGATCTGAAACGGATTCACATGTTCGGCTTAAAACGGAGCGTTGATAGCAATGGCGAGATTCACGTGTTCGACTTGAGCAAAAGAACGCTCTCAAATCTCGCACGGAGCGCTTTTTCTTGCTCCGTCAAATTGGAAGGATCAGAGAGTCAGATCAAAACATTAAAGTACGTTCGGCACCGTTCGGGTATTGATTTCAAAGGGTGTGGTATAACATTTTCTGCTGTACTGCTCTCCGTCTAGGCCGTGATGTCACAGTTCTCTGGAGTGCTCCGAGAGCGATTAAAATCAAAACGAGGGCACATTATTTGAAATCAATAACCGAACGTATTTTATTATTTTGCTTAAGCTTTTTAGGTCTGTTTCGTTTCCACAGAAATCACAAACCAATCAGAGCGTTTTTGATTGGTCCAAATCGCCAACAACCAGTTGCCTGACTATTTTCAACCAATGAAATTTGCTCTGACTGGTTTGTGATTTCTGCGAAAACAAACTTTTTGATACATTGAATTTGATGGAACAATAGAGAGCGCTCCGTGCGAGATTTGAGAGCGTTCTATTGCTCAACTCGAACACGTGAATCTCGCCGGAAGCAACGCTCCGTTTTAAGCCGAACATGTGAATCCATTTCGGATCGCTTTTTAATAAATCGGGTGCAGTTTTGAGGCAAAAGTCGAAAGCGCTATTATCAACCACGAGGTTTTCATCTGTAGGCAATTTTTCCCGAGGTTAATCAAGCATAATCTGGTTATGCTGGGTTATGTGATGTGTCAATTGTGTCATACTTCCCTAACTCCCTCCCCATCAAATTCTGGGCCTGCGAGTGACGTCACTAACAGCAGCTTATAGTGATGACGTCACCCACAGACCTTGATGGAATGCTTGCTATTCAGGCTGTGCTAGTGAGTTAATTTTTTCGTCGATTTTAAATGTAGAAATGGTGATTTTCGGTCTGTTCTTGCAGAAGAAATTAAGTGTTCTTGATCCTCGAGTATCCCATAATTTGATGGTGGGGGAGTTAGGGGAGTATGACACAAATGACACATCACATAATCCAGCAAAAGATTATGCTTGGTTATCATCGCGAAAAATTGCCTGGTATCTGCTAGATTTGCTCCAAATTCTCGAAACAGAGTAGCAGCATTTTTATGAAAATGCTGACAATACTGCTGCTTTTTTGTTTTACGAATACATGTCGCTAGCTAGCTGATACAAATAGAAATAACCTGTTGACAGTCGTGACGGATGAAACCATAAAATACCGCACTTTCAATGTGACCTCCAATGCAAATTTCTAGAATGAAGTTCACAATCCCAGAATATAATCAGTGAGTTCCTCTCATGGTTTAAAACGTTTTTCAAAACAGTGTCACATGACGTCAGAACTTCTCGGTGCGAGAAAATGGTTTCGAAAGGTGGATTGTATTGTATTTTGATACGATTTGAACCAATTTTGAGGTGACGTCACGAGTTTATCGGAAGAATATACTGTTTCAAACCGGTTTTGAACCAGTTTCAAAAAAGTGAACGCGACAAAACAGCTTATATCCGACTAGTGCAGTTTGAAAGAGTGAAAAGAGCGAAAAAAAGTACGTTTTCGTCCTTCCTTTCCGAAAGTTTCACTTCTTGAAATGGAACTTCTGGAATATACTCTTTTAAGTTCTCACTTCAAGTCCAAACGCAGATAATCCTACTCCATTAACTATGAAAATAATACCCCAACCAGTTCAAATTTTGAAATATCCATTCCCGCCTACGTCCACTCCAAAAGTTCCTCTCTTATAGCGTTTTCCATTTGTCGAACCAGTGCGAAAAAAATATATCCTTATCCTTACATGTTACATGCTTTTAGAAAAAGATGCGGATACACTCGGTTTGCACTGATTGACAAATGGTAATCGCCATTAGTGAAACGCTTCTCTTTTAAAAAATTTAAAAATCCGAACGTAAATTATCCTACTCCGCTTGCTCCGAAAACGACGTTGAAGGAGTATAATCCCGAACTCAGCACCGCTAGTTTGCATTTATTGGAGCAAAACTTCTTTTACTCCGAACGCGTCCAAGCCTCCTCCGTTCACACCGAAAATAATACCAGAACCAGTGGCGTATGAATGAGTAAAAAGAGTAAAACATGTATTCTAATCCCAAACTTTGTGACAGTAAAAAGTGAGAGGATGAAAACTAGCGCAAAAGTTAAAAATAAAGTCTGTTTTTTTTTAAAGATAATTCCCCAAGTCAAAAATTTAGTAACTATGTTGGTAACACAAGCCTTTTATACATAAAAAAATGGAAAGCATTGACAATTTTACATTGTATTGCCAACATAATGTCATTTTGTTAATCGAAATTAAATAATATTTTTCATCATAAATTTAAATTCTAAACTACGACCGCTAGTGCAAAAGTTCAAACAGCTGAAGACTTAGTTATGACGTCGGAAATGGTGACACACCAATATGACGGCGATTACCAGAAACGGGGCCGATAAGCAATCCTCAGTAGTGTGTTTTATCCTTGGGTGCAAACGGCCATTAGTGCAAAAAAATCTGTCCGCAACTTGCTACGATGAACCGTTTTCGAGTTGGGGCGATTTTAACACGATAACTGCCAGGCAACATGTATTTGGCCGACCAAATGTTAATTTTTCAATATTCGCCATACTCAATCGTTTGGTGGTCTTTGGTATCCCACTTTTAATATTTGGTGGTAATTACTTAGGCAGTAATTAACAATTAAAAATTTCATATGACGTTGGCCGACATAAACTGATTCTAATTTATTTTTTGGCCCATTTATAGTCAAATCGAACGGAAATCGTTTGGTGGTCACGAATTTACCGAATTTAGCGTTTGTTAGTCAATAATACCGGATTAATTAATCAATTAAGATTGTTTTCTGATATATTTTAATTAATCGTCGCGCATGCGCATATATTATCTGTTTTTCATTGAGCCGCCTCGATCGCGGCGTTGCCGTTGCGATCCGGAACTGGCGGTGGGCCGGTGGCGTGTCAACTCGCGAGTCGCGAGTCTCGGACTCTGCTTGTACTGGATACTAGATTACTGGATTGTCGTTGTCGTGGTCAGTGGTCGCCACAATAGCAAAAATGAAATTAACTGGAGTTTTATTTTGTCATAAACCTGCGAACTTAATTAATGTTATAGACGTTATAGTTACTGTATGTATACTGTATAGAAGATAGTTATTTTCAGTATTCGAGTAAGTATAGATACCTACCTAATTATTCGTTGATTGTAATGAAATAATTGATTTGATTGAAAATTATAGAATAGGTAGGCAACGCCGCGATCGAGGCGGCTCAATGAAAAACAGATAATATATGCGCATGCGCGACGAATAATTAGAATATATCAGAAAACAATCTTAATTGATTAATATCTCCGGTATTATTGACTACCAAACGTTAAATTCGGTAAATTCGTGACCACCAAACGATTTCCGTTCGATTTGACTATAAATGGGCCAAAAAATAAATTAGAATCAGGTTATGTCGGCCAACGTCATATGAAATTTTGAATTGTTAATTACTGCCTAAGTAATTACCACCAAATACTAAAAGTGGGATACCAAAGACCACCAAACGACCACCAAACGATTGAGTAAGGCGAATATTGAAAAATTAACATTTGGTCGGCCATACACATGTTGCCTAACTGCCATGCCGATTTTCAAAAAAATTTCCTCCCAGGCCATTTCAATTTTTGGATAGAAAATGGCATTTGAAGAATACCTGTACTTGATATAGAGTGATATCATTCTCCATGGGGCCGTAATCTTGATTTTAGGGCGTAGGTCACCGGTGACCTACGCGGCGTGGCAGGTAACAAAATCCTTTTGATATGAACCTAAATGGTATGCAAAACACAATACAGAAAAAACATGATATTCCTGCACATGAAGAGTCGTCGTAGGTCACCACACCGCCTTGAAATCCCATTTAACGTTGGGTTTCGACAAAGTTATTGACAACATTTGCTATAGGTTACCGGTGACCTACGCGGCGCCCCAGGCACGACTACCTCGGCGATTAACGTGTTAAGTGACAAACGCCTAAGCTGTGACGTCACACCAGCTTCGGAGGCACATTAGTAACACGTGTAAAATTTTCCAAAATAAAAGTCCACGATTCCACTTAGAGCGAATTCCAACCACTCAAAGTGTAGGGCACAGTTCACTGACACCAGGCTGCGATTTTGCCGGATAGACGGTGTCACGTCACAAGTTTCCGCAAAATTTTCTCGGAAACTATTTTGAATATAGGACTGCAGTTCTCACGAGATATCTTAAATTTTTTTTCTTCAAGTAAGTAGCTGAAGTTGTTTTTCTGGGTCACACCCCCTTCAATTTCGCTCCTAGGATCGAATCTTGTAAGTGAAAAATTTGAAAAGGAAAGAAGTCGCGAGAAGTACTTAGTAATCAAATGACTTATTTTATTAGAAAATGTAGTTTATTGAAAATTAGGAAAAATTGGCTTTAGTAATTAACCGTTCATTGCAATGACGATGCAAAATTAAATTACTGGAACTTGCCAAGAATCGTGAACTAACAGGATTACTCATCCTCGTAAGGGTACGTTCGCCAATTCTCGAGTCGGCTAGGCCTGCGAGTGACGTCACCACTATTAGAAACATAGCAGCTTATAGTGGTGACGTCACCCGCAGGCGTCGATGAAATGCTTGCGATTCAGGTTGTGCTTGTTTTTTCGTCGATTTCAAATATAGAAAACGTGATTTCAACAAGAATATAACAGAATTCTTTTTTTGACCTATACTGTTTTAAACTCGGCAAATGCATTTTACGCCAAGAGTTGAGGTCTACCAAGGATAATACAGACTACTAAGGATTGCTTATCGGCCTTGTTTTTGGTAATCGCGGCCATATGAGTGTAGCACGATTACCGACGTCATTAACTAAGGGCGGGTATTGAGTCACGCACAAAATATCTGCAAAGGTAGCAGTGCTGAGCGGCTGAAAAGCCGAAACGACTCTCCCGAAATCTACAATCTACAAGGGCGGGTATTATAAAACTGCTTTGACAGTTAACTTAAAGTTAACTTTTTGAATACATGTAATTCCCGAAGTTAACTTTAAGTTGACATTCAAAGTAGTTTTATAATACCCGCCCTTAGTCGTCAGCTGTTTGCGCCAGCGGTCGTAGTTTAGAATTTAAATTCATGATGAAAAATTAGAGAATTCTCGTGCCTCAGACGGTAATACGGAACCGCTAACAATATGGTATTTCACATGGTATTTTATAGTTCTCGGACACGAATACGCAAAAATCCTCCAATCCCCAGCGAAATCATAGCCTGTGGTGCAAACATCCTACGTCAAGGCAAGAAACGGCATGCTTCTACGTCATCATTGGTGCTTTCGCATGGTGGCAGGCTTGAGATGTTAAACTACACAGGCCCTATGACGGCCGAATAAAATATAATATTTCATAAATAGTGCGGAAAGTGTCACATTTTCGCAAGAGTTCATTTTTCTACGAGATGAAAGGATATTTATGCCCTATGCCTATCTATATACACTTTATTTGTACTACCTACCAATATAATTTTACCCCACTGACATGGCTTTTTATGTAATAGGTAATAGTTAAGGATATTAAAAGCAGAACAGACATCAAAGCATTCCCTTCTACTTGCTTCTACGAAGAAGAGTAGTTAAGTCTGGTTATAGTGGTTAGTCTGTCTGGTCAGTCATCACTCGTTAGATAAATTGTACCTTGCGAACTTGATAAACTTGTGTGGAACACTCTCAAGCCTATTGATCTGTTAGTAAGGTCATCAAACTAAGGGCCGATATTAAGCCGCGTACGGAGTTTGCGAGGCTGCCGCAGTGCGAGCGGCCTCGCATTGCATCACTTTTGAAGTGGTAGCAGAAGCTAAACACGAGGCAACGCGAGCCGTCATTCATTCACTCGCTCTGAGGCAACAACAATGTCGCTCATAACCAGCAAACACGTACAAACTTGGGAAATGCCGCGCTACGAGGCTTCTTTGAGCACGACCAAAAAACCGACTAAACATGGCTCACCGCGAGGCTGCCTCTCAACGCGGCAGACAGTGAGTCGAGGCAGGTACTAATTTTGCGAAGCACGCCTCGGGAGGCAGCCTCGCGAGGCTGCCTCGCAAAGTGCGTACGTAGCTTTATAATGTTCGGTTGACCAAAGGTTGAAAAAAACCAATATTGAAGGGCGTATTTTTCCTTAGAGAAAAATGTTCGAGGGATTGCATTGAAAGCAAATAAATAGGGAAAAGATTGGAACAGGTATTCAAAAATAAGATAGGGAAGCGGAAACAAAGTAGCTGTAGGAATACAATATTTTTTTATTAACCATAATAGATAACAGTTTATATTGAGTCATAAAATTCAAATTAGGTGGTCAAGATGAAACTTAATGTGATCTTCAATGAAAGAAGCAATATAAAAATAGCTGTGATTATAGCTATCCCTTTCTCTATATTCTACAGCAGGATGCATGGAGCTTCTGCTAGCCTCGATTAGATTTTTTGGATTTAATTGGTGTAGGAATTGGTCACCTAATCCCTGAAAACAATTAGGAATTTGTAAAATACAACCTTTAGCAACAATGTTCTACACTCCTACTTTAGGCATAATGCTACAATTTTTATTAATTATTATTGAAGTCCTTCCTGATTAACAAAAAATATATTAAATATTTAACAATTTGGGTTGATGGAAATTATTTTCTCCTAAAGTTTAGGCTTTAAATTATCCTGTAAATGCTTAACATGAAAGTCAAAATGTTCTCCAATAAATGAGGCAACGAAATAATAGCTATGACTGTAGCCCTTCCTGTTTCTCAAAGAGACAGGAATTCCAACAGTCTTGCAAGCATCAACTAGATTTTGGGGATTAAGTTGGGAAAGGAATTGGTCCTCTAATCCCTAAAAATAATATTAAAGAGAGTATAGTAAAATTTCGGGATGTTCTCCCGTAATGGGACACAGTGTGAAGGGAAAAATCCTAAAACTGACCATCATATTGGGCCTATTCGGATTTGGAAAAAGGACGGTTCTAGAACGGTTCAAAAGAATCGCACAGTTTATCATTGAAATTTGTGATAGCCGAGTTGTTGTCATTTTGTTGATTGATGAACTGTCCGATTGTTTTGAACCGTTCTAGAACCGTCCTTTTTCCTAACCCGAATAGGCCTATAGTAGAACTTTGAACTTTGATTTAATAAAAATTAGTGTTGCCACCATAAATTTTTACCTGATCAATAAGGATCCCCAATGGAGGTCCTCTGTATCTTTTCACCAACTCGGTTGCGTCCCATTCTTCCCAACGTCCAGTTTCTCTTGGTCCAAGATAACCAGTAAACGCCTTAACGCCCCATGGGCAAGCAATGGGGTTGCAAATTGCGGCGAAACCGGATACAGATTTGAATAGGCTGGGATTTTTGAGGGCCGCAATCAAAGCACCATGACCACCCATACTAAAGAAAAGATTTGAAACTATTGTGTCAAATTTAATTGAGAAATACAAATACCTGTGTCCCATGATCGATTGCCTGCCTTCGGCAATATTGAAATTCGAAGTTACAATGTCTATGAGCTCTTTGGTGATGTAGTCGTACATTCTATAGTTTTTCTTCCACGGTTCTTGAGTGGCGTTCAAGTAAAATCCAGCACCGACTCCAAAATCCCACGAATCTGAGTCACCTGGTATATTGAGGCCTCTAGGTGAAGTGTCTGGGTTAACAAGGATAATTCCGTGTTTAGCTGCATATCTGAAATAATTAGATGTAAGAATAAGTGTTAATAAATAAAAAAATAAAAATTGCCTTTGTGCTCCAGATTTTTCAATAAAATTCGCTTCAGTGCAAGTGAGACCGGAGAGCCAATAGATGACAGGAACTCTATTCTCTTCGGCTTGTGGCGGTAGGTAGACACCAAATTTCATCGTGCAGCCCACTGTTGCAGATTCGTGGCTGAAGACCTTTTGCCACCCACCAAAGCACCGGTTTGACGAAACTTCTGTTAGAGCCATCTGGAATAAAAAAGTAAATTTATCAGTAAATTGTGGATAAAAATATTCATATGGCAGTCCAGCTACCAGCTGATAATAAGAATACCTTAATTGAAACTGTTTGATTACATAACAAAAATGATCATTCCTTAAGTCTAATAAAGGAACCAGACTATACAACGCAAAACAAAAAATTAGTTGGTCTTGACAAAATGACAAGATACCTACTGAAAGAGTGCAAAGTTGTACCTTCCGAACCCTTAATAAAAATCTTCAACTTTGCAATGAGTAGCAAGATAAAGCAATTCAAAACAGCTTGTATATCCCCAATTTATAAGAGAGGTCCTAAAAAATCACATAGAACCTAAAGTGTCAGATCTTTAAATTGGATTTCCAAAAAATAGATGTGTTTTGAAACTTACTGTTACTGTATTTTGTGACATATTCCACAGACGTCCTAGTTGATAATAATAAAATTGATGCAGTTTATACAGATTTTGTGAAAGCATTAAATCAGGTAGACAATAACACTTAAGTTCAAAAACTTACATCTTTCTCGATCTCATTAGACCTTTGTCAGCTAATAATTTTATATCTGTCAAACGGAAACCAATTTGTTTCTGTAAAAAATTACCAATCCAACACTTACATAGCCTCTTGGAGAGACCCACAAGGTTCCTCCTTAGGGCCTTATTTATTTCTTTTATTTATAAATGATATTACAACTACCAAGAAGTCCTGTAACATTTTGTTGTTTGCTGATGACAACATGAAAGTTTACAAAGAAATAAAAGACATTAACGCCTGCTTTACATATTCAAAAAACCCATTGAATTTAAATATAAGTCTAAACGAGCAGCGAGTAGATAATATTAATATTTAGGTATTTCTGTTATGTACCTATATTTTAATATGTAGATGCAGCATACTCAAGAGTATACTTATACATTACATATAAATTTACACAGAAAGTATTTAAAACGGTACTTACATGTATTTTATTGATAAATGAGCAATTTAAAATGCAGACTGCAGTAAAAAATAGTGAAAATGTATGGTATAATTATCCACATGTTAGTTGTTGATACTTTTAGGAGTCAAGGTCTCAGTCAAGGTTAATTGTTTTTGATAATAATGTTATTGCATTGTCCTCATGAAAATTTCCTGGAGTAAATAGTGAATTATTATACATTGAGTTATACACTATAGCACCCATGGGAAGCGAGTTACAGGGTTATTTCACCACTTATTCAATAATTTAGGTACATACCTACTATAAAGTATAGCCAAATAAATGATTACGTAAAAAAAAATAGTATTTTTTTATTTCAAGAGTAATTTGAAAAGCCGCCGAATGAGCTTTGATTTACCTCTCTAGCCCCTGTGATGATAAGGAAGATACTTAGTTGAGAAATTAAAAAAGAATATTTTTTTTAATTTTCAAGAAAATGTTCATTTTTTCACTTAAGTGTTGATCAAGTGGTAAATCGCTTATGTATTCCAGTGTACATACAAGCCTCATGTAATGCCATGTATTCTTATTTTCTCATTTGATCCAATGTATTCTTATAATTCTTATGTATGCCCCTCGGTATGCCCTATGTATTCTTATGTTTTCGTTTGTGTTCTCATGTATTCCTATGTATTCTCAAATGTATTCATTCCAAATTCTAATGTTTACACGCGTCGTCACCACTATTTTAAGTTGTGATTATCTCCGCAAGTCAAACACACATACAGTGTTGCTAACTTATTCCTTAGTTGTAAAAACAAATATAGTAATAAGCATTAGGCCCTGATATCAATCAATTAAAAAAAACAAAAGTTGAAACCTTATTACTGATGACACTATGGCTTAAGAAAACACAAGAGGAAACATTATTTTACCTGAAGACTGAAGAGGAAATTAAACTCATTGGATTTGAAAGATTTGTCCAATAAATTTACTGAAGTTAATACAACAGAAAAATCTCCTTATGTTAGGATTTTAGAGGAAAAATATGTCATAATTGAAAAGTCCTTGTTTTATTAGCTTCTAGATGAGTCGTCAAGTGAAATAAGTACAGACAGGCTCCAAAGACTTTTTCCACCAATAGAACGATGCCTAAATCCAGTCCAGAAATCCTAAAAAAGGAATTAAAAAGATAAAGAAAAAAAATTGAACATTTTATAGGGACTGAATTCACAATGAGCTCTACATCTACATCTGATGATGAATGAAGCATTTAGATTGTGATTCTTCAGATTGCGAAATGCCTTTAGAAACCTTTAGTACCAAGTCAAATTTTCAAATCCTGGCCTAGATACTTTTACTTGGCCTAAGGTGGACAACTTTGCTCAAGTAGGTAGTCTTTCGCTTGTGTTTTTTTTCTCTTTAACGTAAATTAGAGAAAATTTTTGTGTTTTGTTTTTATTGCCAGTTTTATATTTAATAAGTTGTGGATCCCTTCCCCTCATTCAGTGATATAGAACCCAAACTTTAAATTTGAAGACAGTTGTTCTTTTATATACTTATTTTATAATATGATGTCCTGTGTTTCACGGAGCACTGCATGATGCAGGCTAGAACATCTCAAAATCCTGGATTACAAAATGGGATCATCCTTTTGCCGGAAGAACAGCAAACATGGTGGATCAACAATCATGTATAACCCCCTATGGGAAACGAAGACACATGATGAAGTCACAAGCCTGTCAGTAGCAGAACATGTCGAAGTAAGTGCCACAGAGATAAAAAGACTGAACCTATTATTAATAACTATTTACCATCCACCCAATGGAGACTTTAATATATTTTTGAATGTTACAGATAGTATTTTGGATGTGTGTCTAAGTCTAAAGAAATATGTTGTGTTGAATGGCGATTTTAACATACATTTTGAGAGGGACTATAACCTTACAACATAAATTCTTAGATCTCACTGAATCATATGATTATAGGGAAAAAGTCTTTGTGAATACACGTAAAAACCATCATCTTGATAATGTCTTTGTAAATCTTGAAAATGTGTGTGAATGTAAAGTAAATGTTTTTAATCCAGATCTGTCTGATCATGATGGGGCAATCGAATGTGAAATAAATGTCATCCCTATTTTAAAATATGAAAACCTAAAAATAGACCAATCTCTTTACCGTCCCATAACAAAAATAGGAATTGCAAAGATGTGCGACTTGCTTGATGAAACCTGGTCATTCTTGGAAACTGACAATGCTGAAATGAGTACCACCAAATTTTTTCAGAGATTTCTATTCTATCGAGACATTGCACTTCCAGTGACTAGACGACCAAAGAAAAGCACCCAGGAATCCGGAGCTGAGTGGTTTGGAGAGGAACTACAGATCCTGCGACATGAGCTAAACACATTAAATTAAATGTGCTCAGAAACTGACTGTCCTGTGCTGCAGACAGAGAGAAACACACTGAGGAACAGGTACCGAAATGAAATAGAAAACCCAAAAAAGCAAGCAAATTCAAATTATATCCGTAATTCTGATAACATTGCAAAAGCATCATGGAATCTAATAAAAAAATACATGCCAAACAGCACTTCTAAAGCAAATGCAAATATAGACCCAAATGAATGTAATGATTATTTTGCCGACATAGCTGAAAACCTCATTCATAATCTACCAGCAGCCGACACATCGCCAGTTCTGTATATGCAGAGCAGTAACCTAGGAGACCCAAACCTGCACTTTTCTTTCCAAAGTGTAGGCCCACTCGAAGTTCTTCAAGCTCTTAATAACTTAAAAAAAAAAGCACAGCAAGGACTTCTATGACCTTAGTGTAGTGCTAATACAGGCACTTGGTGGGATTCTCTGTTATCCGCTTGCAAAAATTTTCAACAAATGTATCCAAGAAGGTGCTTACCCTGAAGAGCTCAAAATTAGTAAAACTGTGCCAATCTTCAAAAGTGGAGACAAAACATCACCATCAAATTACAGACCAATTTCTTTGATCCCCGTCTTCTCCAAGATCCATGAGGTTCTCTTGAAGGACCAACTCTACATGTACTTTGAGGGAAACAACTTATTCATAGAAGAGCAGTTTGGGTTTAGAAGGGGCAGAACCACCACTGGGGCAATACTAAAGCTCTGTGATTTCATAGTTGGGGGCTTTGAGGAGGGCAGATTGTGTCCACCACCTTCTGTGACCTCTCCAAAGCCTTCGACTGTGTATCACATGATATCCTTATAGAAAAATTAAAATACTACAGGTTCTGTGAATTCAGCGTGAAATTGATATTGGGGTACCTCTCGGGACGAAGGCAGATCACGGAGTTGGAGGGTAGGCGCTCAGAGGAGAGAGTCATGAGGCACGGTGTGGTTCAGGGATCGGTACTGGGCCCACTGTTGTTCCTTATATACATAAATGACCTTGCAGCTGCCCTGTCCGGATGCCAGGTTGTTATCTACGCGGACGATAATGGACTCTCCATAAAAGCCAAAACACTGGACCTTGCCAAAATGGAGATGACGAGACATGTCGAAACTGCTGTTGACTGGTTCAACTCCAATCTTCTGAATGTCAACCAAAGTAAAACAGAAAACATAATCTTTTCTCTCAAGAAAACTAAAATTCAAGACAACCCAGAAAAAATCAAATTTTTAGGAGTTACATTGGATGTGAAGCTGACTTTCGAGCAGCATGTCAACATTATTTCAAAAAAACTTTGCTCCGCAATCTATGTTCTTCGTAATATATCGAAAATTGTAGATAAAGAAACATCGAAAATGGCATATTATGGTCTATTTCATTCAGTAAGCCTCTATGGACTCCTAGCATGGGGACACTCATGTCATACCTCTCGCATCTTTGGTCTGCAGAGAAGAGCAGTTAGAATTGTAGCTGGCATCAAATACCGAGATGATGTCAAACCATCCTTCAGGGACCTAAAAATATTAACTCTTCCAGCACAATATATCCTAGAGTCTCTACTATATTTTCATAGTAACTCTTCAAACTACACTCGTGCCGAAGAGGTCCATAATTACAACACTCGTCAACGTTACAACGTGC